GGAAGGTCCATAAACCTCTAGACCTATCTATGTGGTTGCAAGAATAATAAACAACTCAGGTCATAAGACTTGGGGATCTGTTTGGTCAACCTCTTTATACACAGGATGTATGACCTCCTTGTGCACCTAGTCACAAAAAAAAGGTGTTAGACCATTCCACTCTCATGAGAATCAGGTCCACATGCAATGACTATGATCTTGGCCCAATATCATCTGAAAAGAAATCAGAATCCATCAGGTAAAAAGGGCAACTCTTGGGGTTTTGGTCAGATCAGGATCCTCCATAGGAACAAATCTAAGTTCACAAAATCAAGGAAGCAGCATTAGCATTTCTCTAAGTTCCAATAATTCTACAACAGAAAAATAGCTTACCATCTTTTAGAGATTTATAAAAGTATTGTTGTGAGCAGGCCAGAAAGTTTCAAAAGTGCCTGCCAATTATACTACTCCTTGTTTATCCTCCTGAGAATAAAACAAACTTCAGACATCTCTTAAGGCCTTGAAAAAGCCATATGCTCTGACCAGCTAGGTCCTAACTCATGGCTTGTTTTACTAATCCATTCTGAATTTATTATCTACCAGACAGTTAAGTAGCACAATAACAATAACTAATACACTTCATTTCAAAGATCACTTTAAAACATACTTTTCAGTCCTCAGTGAAAGAAGAAGGGGTGGAGGAACATTGCAGCTGGACTGTGGTTACATTCCTCATGTTTTGTGGTCTGAGCCTCACAGTGAAATGCAGCAAAGATTTCAGAGTTTCCCTTTACAGTATGCAAGTGTACAAGTAATGGTTCAGGCAAGGAATCAGTCCAAGCCTGGGTTTCAAACAGGTCAGACAAAGAAAAGAAATTGGTCTTTTTTTCCTCCAGCAAAACTGGCTAAATAGAGCTTTGAATTCTAATATCTCATGTACCAATAGCCAGATGAGACAGGTAATCAGAGAGGGGAGAGGTTGAAAATTCCTAGGGCCATTACATTAATTATAATTGTGCAATGAATCATTCAATTTCTATTTGCCATCTCCCATGAAGATCTGATTCCACCTAATGTCCTGGAAAGGTTTACATCAAAATTAAAAACTCAAGAGAAAGAAAAACCATGTCTAATCTGCTCTTTCAGTGATCCAGGCTAAGAATAACAGAGGCATAAGCATAATCAATAAATGTATTTCTATTTATATATTTATGTATACATTTATGTTGTTTCAAAAAGGATTTGAAGTACTTCACAAAAATGCATAAAACCAGCTAAAACACTTAATAGTTCATAAAATCTAAAACAGCATCAATTGTAAAATGCATCATTAGCTTGTATAACACTAAGAAAAGATAAGTACTATCAATTATAATATGACATGCCATTAATTATAAGATGCCTCTCATTTTATCAATATTAAAATGTCCAAAATGTATATATCAAAATCAACAAAATATAATATGTGTTTCAGCGAAAGGTGGAAGATAGAGGCAGAATATAAAATTCATTAACCAAAATGCAATTCTGTGGTTCCTCTGGCTGCCAAAGAAAAAACCGATAGTATAATCACCTAAAACTAGCTGGCCTTACCAGATCACTTGAGAAAATCGATCAATAAATCAATAAATCACTGCTGCTACTCACACTGGGGTGTGCTACTTGAAAATGCCCACATGTTAAGTTGCTACTTCACAAATTAAAGTGTGCAACTGATCTGGAGCAAAAATATTTACCATCTTAAGGAACACCCTTCCTACAAGCTCCCGAAGTGATTTTCCTGCATAACTAATTTTAAAGTCAGATCATCACGAAAATTTTGATAAAAATCTGGAAAGACACTTAATTTGAACATTATGGCACTAAGAGAAGGCTGTTTGGAAATAGACCAGCCTCCAGAGAATTACCAGGTGATCTTTCTTAAGCATATATCTGGTCATGGTTTTCTCTTTTGCTCAAAATCATCTAGGCGCCCCTTCATCCCTTATAAGCCATGTTTTTCATCATTAAACAAACCAAATGATGTCAGCAAAAATGGTACAATAGACAGAGCCAAAGACCTGTCCCTCCGGAGAAACATCTAAAAACAAAAAACAAAATCAAGCAAAATTGTCAAAATCAACTTTGTCAAAACCCCGGAAAATAGTCAAAGGTTTGTGTCAATTGCCTAACTGTTGAACCAAGAAAAAGAAAACTCAAAACCAGGAGGAAAGTTTTGCAGCTTTTTGACTTGCCCTGGCCCCACCCTCCTCTTCAGTTCAGCATTGGTCTTGCGGACGACAGACAGCCGCCCTCCCAGTATGGCACTTGATTTTTGGATCTTGAGGGAACAGACCAGATTCTTATTCTAAAAACAAGTGTGTCTGTTCACACTTGTCTGGCGGCTACCTAAAGGACTAATGTGAGTTACTTTCCTTTGTTCCTCACCTAGTCTGAACTCACTCAAAGCTGAAAAGCAGCTAACAATGTTCAAGTAGTAAGGCAAACAAAAAACCCTGAGCCACCAGGGGCAAAAAATTACAGTTCAGATAAAAAACAGATTGCCTAAAGCCTGGGAAGAAAAGCTGGAGAGTTTCTTTGAGAGATTAGGTCATTCAAAAGTGTCCAAGTATACTGGGGAATTTAGAAGCTACATTCATACCCAAAACAAGACGCATGTTCAGGAAAAACCTGAGGGGGGGCCTACATTTCCCTCTGGCTGACAGCTAGGCTCAGTGCAACCAGAAAGTGAAGGCTAAGGCCTTCAACTGAAACTAAAGGACCATAGATAGTAACTTGAAGCTGCACAAAGAAATAAAAATCCAGACAAGGTAATTACATATGTTTAAAAAAAAAAAAAGAGAGAGAGTATTATGGGCACACAATGTATAATGATGTGATTTGTGGCAATAACAACATAAAGATAGGAGGGATGAACAGAGGTGTATAAAACAGAGTTTTTATATGCTACTGAAGCTAACTGGTATCAGTTCAAACTAAACTGTTATAAATATAGGATGTTAATTAAAATCCCCATCATAACGATAAAAAATCTATAAAATATACAGACAAGGAAATGAGAAAGGAATCAAAATGGTACACTACAAAAAAATATCAATTAGGCACAAAAGAAGGCACTAATAAAGGAAATGAGACAAACAAAAAAGCATAAGACATACAGAAACAAATAGTAAAGTGGCATAAGTTTTTCCCTATGAGTCACTAAGTGGAAGTGGATTAAAAATTCTAATCAAAAGGCAGAGATTGGAGGAATGCATAAAAGGCATGCTCTAACTACATGCCATCTTCAAGAGATTTATTCTAGATCAAAAGGTTTCAAGTGAAAATATGGGAAAGATATTCCATGCAAATAGTAACCAAAAGAGACCTGGGTTGGTTATGCTAATATCAGATAAAACAATCTTTAGGCCAAAAGCTGTTACAAGAGTCAAAAATATACCAATAAAGGGGTCAATTCATCAGGCTGACATAACAACAAATATGTGTACCAGACAACAGTGGTCTGAAACATATGAAGCAAATGTTGACAGAATTGAAATGAGAAATATAGTTTTACAGTAATAGTTGAATTCAATATCCCACTCTCAATAATAAGTGGAACATTTAGACAGAAGCTCAATAAGGAAATAGAAAACCTGAGAACGTCATAAACCAACTAGATCTAACAGACATAAATAAAACACTGTATCTAATAACAGCAGGATACACATTCTTCTCAAGAGCATGTGGAATGTTCTCCAGGACAGATAATACATTAGGCCACAAAACAAGTCTTAATAATTAAAAAAAAAAAAATTAAAATCATAAAACTAACTTCTCTGCTTCTACATCACAATGGAATAAAATGAGAAATCAATAACGAAAGGAAAACTAGAAAATTCACAAATACATAAAAATTAAACAATCCCCTCTTTTTTTTTGAGACAGGATCTTGCTCTGTCACCCGGACTGGAGTGCAGTGGTGTGATCTCAGCTCACTGCAGACTTTGCCTCCTGGGCTTAATCATTTATCCCACCTCAGCTTCTTGAGTAACTGGGACTATAAGCACATCACCATGCTCAGCTAATTTTCATATTTTTTGTAAAGACAGCTAAATTTCGTATTTTTTCAATGAGAAAGAAAAGGAATTTAATGAGCAATAAGAAATCATCTGGAGGTTAAAAAACTCATTGATAAAAGTAAGTCCCCAGAAAAACACAGAATATTATAACACTGTAATTGTTCTGTGTAAACTACTCTTAAGGAGAAAGACTAAAATATGAGCCAATCAAAAATAATAAGGACAACTTTTCAAGACACAAACAGTACAAGAAAATGTAAGCATGGGGAAAAATTAAAGTATAGAGTTTTTATTAGTTTTCTTTTTGTTTATGCAATCAGTGTTGTCTTTGGTTTAAAATAATGGGTTATAACATAGTACTTCCAAGCCTCATAATAATTTCAAATAAGAAAATATACAACAGATACACAAAAAATAAAAATCAAGACATTATATCATAACACCAGAGAAAATCACCTTCACTGAAAAAAGACAGATAGAAAAGAAAGAAGGAAGAGAAGACCACAAAACAACCTAAAAACAAATGATAAAATGGCAGAGGTAAGTCCATACATATCAATAACGTTGAATGTAAATGGATTAAACTCTCCAATCAAAAGATGGAGAGTAGCTCAATAGATTTTAAAAAAAACAGGATCCAATGATCTGTTGCCTACAAGAAACATGCAAGAGGTACTAGGTGAATATTTGTAGATTATATGGCACTTATCTTCACAAAAGTAAGAAGAAAATAAATGAAACTTAAAGTAAATTTTTGCTACCATTACAAAGTTTGGAAGTCCAGGGGTTGAGTCACTAAAATTTATACTAATAATTACATTTGATTTAGATAAAATGAAGCACTCTACAAAGGTTATATAAAAGTTGTCACAATTTAGGTTACATTTGACATATTATATTGCACCCCACGTTTTATACACTGGCTTGATTTAAAAATCGTTTTTGAAAAAAGACACTTACTCTCTCTCCTTTTCCGTCAGCTTGTCATTGATATTGTCTTTGATTGTTGATCTAGACCCTTTATGAATTATAGGATATCTGAGGGGCACTTGCAGGAAAAAGGAAATCATGGAGACCAAATGTGCAGTGTAACCAAGGGCAACAGCAATGCTTCCATCATCTTTTGCTGTAAATTCAAAAGCAGAGGAAAAGAAAATAACTATTTACCTTATAAATAACTACAAGATAATAAATCATTTAGAAGAATATCTTATAGAAATATGTGGTACATAAGATATTAATCACTTATCTAAATTATATAAATTTTATGCAAATTTAAACATATTAACAAGACTTGAAATGTCATCTAACTGCATGTAAAATGATTTCCCAATAATTAATATGAGATTAACATTTGATATATATCTTAAAGCAAGAACTCTTACTATGTCCAAATAACCATCGCTTGCTTTCTTAGCATTTTTATAAGGATAATTAATACTTGAGTCTATTGTATGATGTGAAAATTAGCTTCAGAGGTTTAAACATAAAAAACACACTATACAGTGGTTATATATTTTATTCATTAACAATTTCCTAGGCAATATAGTTGTACTATTTTACAACATTATTAATTCTAAAGGGAAATGAAATAGTATAATCATTCTTCTGGGGCATGTTCTTGATATTGAAAAAGGCAGTGTTACATAAATAAGCCTATGCAGTTTGACGTGGGGTAAGCGGGAAAATGTTTTAAGCAGCAAAAACAAAAGGTGAAAAACCACTGTTTATATACCATCCTATTTATGCAATATAGGTGGAAGCAACTACTAGGAAAAAATGCATGTATCCTATAATCAGACATAAACATTTAGCTTTCAAAAAGCCACAGATAATTACATTTTTTAAACTTATCCAGATTTCTGCCACTATCTATTAAGTGATAAATGATGATGATTCATGTGATAAGAACAGGGAGCAATATAATCAAAAGTTTTAAAGTTCCCCCAAGAGGAAGGAAATAGGAACTTTCCGGTATACAGTATTCCTAAAATGCTTTTAAAAGTGCACAAGTGCATGTGTGTACACTCATGAAGTAAAATGTTTAACACATAATCTGGAATATCCCATCTGGCTAGGGAAGAAGGGCCAAAATGATCACAATGACCATGACTTGACTATTCTCTGACTTCTAAAGGTGGCTTTAACCTTAATTACTCATAAAAATTTTTGCATTCTTTCTATTTCTACTTAATATGGTAGAAATGCCACTATAGCCACTACAGCATTCCTCAGTGAATTCTCTACCCTTAACTACCATAGCAAACTATTGGTTTTTCTTTGATAGTCTTATTAAAATATATATATATATATATATATATATATACACACACACACACATTTTCTGTCCAGAACTGTCTGTACTACTTTATATATGACATTCATTCACTAACAATGTAAAATTAAACACCTTTTAAATGCTATTTCATTTATTTTACAGATAAAGAAACTAAGGATCAGAGATTAAGGAATCTTTCCAAAGTAATAGAGCCAGTAAACAGGTTGGCTTGACAACCAATCCTCTACCCTTAACCAGTCTATTGTACTGTCTCAGAACTTTATTGTTAAAAATTAATATAACAATTATTTTTTTTTTAAAAGATGGGGTCCCACTATGTTGCCCAGGCTGATGTCAAACTCCTGGGCTCAAGTAATCCTCACGCCTTAATCTCCCAAGTAACTGGGACTACAGGTGTGTGCCACTGTGCCCACCATATTTTAAAAATATATTTAATATGTTTTCCATATTACATATAATGATTTTTTAACTTGGAAGCCTCGAATGTACCAAGCACGTGACACACATGTACCACCTTAGTTTCTTCACAGTTTTCTAGTAAAAGCAAAGAACACATAAAATGTCTGAGAGTCCTCGATGACTTGCACAGTACTCAACAGAAAATGGGCTTCTCAAGGAATGTCTGTTCTCTAAAACAAGCTCATGGGAAAAAATCAAACAGCAGTCATTTTCCACCGACTACTGAGTCATGCCCTAACTAACTAGAATCCTAATTATTTTTAGAGACCATGTCTTCTTGTCCCAGTCCTACCCAAGTACCTTGAGTACTACTACAACACTTTCCTTCTGCTGAAACCCACACATCATAATACCTTAGGGGCTAAAAGTACTTTATATTTTAAATTTGCTACATTATAAATTCATTATCACACAATAATAGAACAAACAGAAACTTCTGCAATCACTGAGTCTGATACTACCAACTTGGAGAAGAGACAAATGAGACCCAGGTGGTATAAATGGCTTGGTCAAAGCCATATAGGTAGAAACTGTGAGTGGTGAAATAACTGAGAGAACTGTGTCCACAATTCTCCAGAAGATCTATAAAGGTGTGGAGTCACAGTTGGAACTGTGAGTTTCTTCCCAGGTCACTGAATTCTGCCTCCTGCTTTCCGTAAAAATTAGGGTTTATCAAATGTAAAATATTCCTGTCAGTAAAAGGACTTGATCTTTAAATAACCACCTTTTAAAGGGAGAGGGAAGAGGAAGAGGAGGATCTAAAAACAGATAATACTATGCTAACTTGCAGCTTCCCTGTATGTTCTTTATACAAAGCTTTTCCTTTCCTATATGACCTGACAGAAGAGGTTTGGAAAACTTCTAGAATGCAGCAGGCCTCTTAATTAGCCTTTCAAGCAGGTCAAATGCAAACTATGAATATTTTAAAAATATCTAATGCTAAACATTCAAGCATCTATATTTTTTCCATATTATGAAAGGAAGACTGCTAAAGAATTGTATTTGTGTAATTTGAGACTACATCCACATCTCTATTAAAAGAGCAAAAAGTTAGTTTTCTAACATCACTTCCCACCAATGAACAAAACAATTTTACTTAAATTTAAAGATTAAAAAGGCATCTCTAAGAGGAATCTCACACAAAAACAAAAAAACAAAAAGAAATAGCACACACTGAAAATTGAATAATACTGGAAATCAGCTTTGATTCAGGTTATTCACACTCAACATTCTTGCCACAAGTCTTCCCACTCCACCTATTAAACATTCTAGGTTTCCCATTCCAGGCCATAGTGCTCCATCACAGCCTCAGTGTTAAACATTGTGGTGTTGGATTTCCAATATTGAAGCTTTATATTAAAAAGCATTTTAAAAGGACCACGAGTGAAGCATTATAGGGCTCAAGGGTATTCCAATGCCCTCAAAAGGAAAACCACCTCCTGGTAGGGAAGTCACTTTCATCACCCCAAGACCACTGAATCTCCAGTGGGAAAATGTGAGCTCATGTGGTTAATTATGGCTATTGCAGGCCATGCAACCTCAGATGTCACATTCTGTTGCCAATCACTTTAGCTAAAAAACCAAAAGGTTTAAGGTTTCCAGCATTCTGAGATCTGAAAGATTTTTTTACCTGCCACAGCCAAAACCCAGCTCTCCAGGGCGTGCTTTTCCAGTAAGCATTAATGACGTCCCTAACACCTAATGCAGAGCAGAGGTTTGTGTACCTTATGCTGTTCTGGTGTTAGAAAGGTCACAGACGATAGTTTTGTGAGTGAGAAGGTGGAGCAGGAGTGAAGGGTCCAGGGAGAAACAGGAATGAACCCTAAGATTCAGGTATGTGAAAAAGATGCTAATTCAAACAAAGTTTTAAGGGGCTTGAAAATAAAATAAAAAATCACAGTTTCCTCATAATAAATATTTCTGGATTATTTTTTAAATGTAAGTAACCACTCTAGGCTGTAGCTTTTGTGTAATTTTTATGACAACAAATTCCACAAACACACAATGGCCATGACAACATTATAAATTAATTCAAATGTTCCTTTGACTTATAGGTTGGACAAACTATTAATATTCAAATGCATCCAAGTACAATAAGTGATCTAAAAGCTCTTACCATCCTGCCTTCCCAATCACTGAGGCAGCTGATTTGTTAAGGAACCAAGCACCCACTGATCCAGACAGGACAAAATATTTAAGACTCTAATCACTGCCACAGCAGCTATGGAATCATTCCATGTTCTCAATGAGATACTGTTTGACATATGGACTCTCCTTTCCAAGAAATCATGCCTGCATAAAGGGATACAGACACAGAAGGAAATCTGGGTCTCATTACCACAAAAGGCTCTCGTGTTATGGATTACTTAAAAATACGCACGCACAAACATTTTTTTTAAGCTAAATGTCTCAGTCAGCGGAACTCAAATGAAGACCCTTCACTGGACAATTTTCTCCCATTGTGTCCAGGTCTCCTTGGCATACTCCAACAGTAACTTACCCATTTAGAAAAGCACAATAATAGTGGGGCACTATGGTGGAGTTTCCCAAACAGTATCATCCCATGCAGTGTAAAGTCTATCCCAGCAAAGTCTCATGAACATCACAGAATAGCCAGCTTGGAGTTCCTTTACTACAGTCTCTCCCAGAAAAGCAGCTGCTATAGAATACTAAAAAGTTGTCACAAGTTTAAAGAGGTTATCATTCAAAGCAAGGAAGTAAACTGCATTGTGGGAGGAATAATATGAATCTTAGAATCAGGCAGACCAGGAATAATCTTAGCTTTATCACTGGTTATTATGGCTCCTTGAAAAAATTAATCTCTCTGAGCCTTAATTTTCTTTTTCTTTTTCTTTTTTTTTTTAATTTAGGGTTCTTTCCTCACAGATGAAATTAATTCTCACAATTGTGAGAATTAGGGCGAATGTGAGCACATCATGTTCTATGTTATTATATTTCTTTTCCTTTTTTATATTCTATTTTGAAATGGGTTCTCACCCTGTCACCAAGGCTGGAGTGCAGCTGCATGATCATAGCTCACTACAGCCTCAAACTCCTGGTCACAAGCAATCCTCCCACCTCAGTCTCCCAAAGTGCTAGGATTACAGGCATGAGCCACCACGCCCAGCCTATGTTATTATATTTCTACTCACCCAGCCTACAATGTCTTCTTACTCTCTTTCTACTGGAAAACAACATTTTGTCTCTTAAGTCAGTGAAAGCATCATCTTCTCTATAAAATTTTCCTGATCCCCTCCTGATAGCAGTAATTATTCTCACTTTTTTGAGTACCATGTACCTTGTATAAACTTCCAAGTACCTGACACAGAGTATGAATTCAGTATTTCTTGATATCCTGAACTGAACTGTAATCTCACTAGGGCAGGATCAATGTCTTAACCATCTCATACCCTCAACACCTGGCACCATGGATGACATACAAAGAGCATTCAATACATTTAGTCAATGGAAGTGTCTTGCAGGGTACTAACATAAGATTTTCTTTTTTTTAAAAGACAGAGTCTCGCTCTGTTGCGCAGGCTGGAGTACAGAGACACAATCTTGGCTTGAACCTTCGCCTCCAAGTTCAAGCGGTTCTGGAGCCTCACCCTCCCAAATAGCTGAGATTACAAGCGTGTGCCACCACAGCTAAAATTAGCCACACCAAGCTGATTTTTTGCATTTTTGGTAGAAACAGGGTTTCACCATGTTGGTCAGGCTGGTCTCAAACTCTTGACCTCAAATGATCTACCCACTTCAGCCTCCCAAAATGTTGGAATTACAGGTGTGAGCCACTGCGCCCAGCCAACATAAGATTTTTAAAGTCCAATATTACTGCATGTGCTTCTTAAAATTTCTGATTCCTTAGGTAATGGGGAATGAATAGGACCTTAAAATAAAATTAAACATTTATTTCATTTTATCTCACATTTTGTTTTTCAACAACTGCACTAAAAAACTACAGGTAGGGAGTTTTTTCAAATCATTCTGTATTTAGCAGCCAGAGTGACTTTTAAAAGCCTAACTCAGCTCACGCCATCCCCCTTCTTGAAGTCCCTCAGGCATTTCCTACTTCCTTGATAATAAAACACCAACTCCTTACAGTGACCTCAAGGCCCTGGCTGCCCTCTCCTGCCTCCTCTAATGTAGCTCTTCTCCTCGCTCACTTAGGCTCCAGCTGCACAGGTCTGGTCTTTTCTGTCCTTCCTTCCTCTCTCTTTTGCAACTAATTCCAGTTACGTTTATTGAGTACCTTCTATATGAAAAGCTGTTTCAAATGTTATTTCATTCAATCATCACAATAAATTACAGATATAGATGTCTCATTTTATAAGAAATTAAGGTGAAAGATTACATGATTTACCCAAAATACAAGTCTTTTCTCACATTCCCCCACCCTGAGTTTTTTTAGAGATGCCACGCCCATTCCTCCTTCATCATCACCTTTGTACTTGCTGACCTGACCCTTCGCCCAGAAATACTCTTCCCCCAGCTGTAGCATAGTCGACTCCTTTTAGCCTTCAATTTTTATACTTCTCCTTAGAGAGGTCTTCCTTGACTGCTTTATCTAAAGCAGTTTCTTCCATTCTCTGTGACAGCACATTCTTTTATTAAATACTTGCTACATACTTATTTTCTTGCTTACTGGCTATCTCCCCCAGTAAGCTCCATGGAAGGAGAGAAAATGTTTACTTTCTGTATCTTTGTATCCTCAAAAGGCACAGTGCCTGGCATTTAGGTGTTCAATGAACATTTTTTTTTCAATGAATGATGTTCTATATCCCAGGAAACTGGTACGGGGCACAAGTACTCAATACATTTACTAAATGAATAAATGAGGAAAATGATACGCCATGGGCTTCAAGACACTACTACTTTGCCTAAAATTAACATCAAAACACTTTTGTGAATGTCTTACAGAGATTTGAGAGAGCACTATGAAATGGAAACCAAATAAATCCCAGCTATATTATTGCCTAGCTTTGTGGTCTCAAGCAAATCACTGAATACCATTTTCCTTATAGGATCCTTTTGTTTGCTTTTGTGAGTATTAAAGATTAGGAAAAATCTCTTGCATTTATAGCTATGGTATACCTCACTTAATTTTCACAACAATCATGTAAGATAGGTAGGGCATAAATTAATAGTTCATCAATCAATTAGGAAATTAAAGGTTACATGACTTGCTCCAAATTACACAGTTTATAGAAGGGGAATCAGGACTTGAACATAGGTCTTCCAAGTCCTGGTTTATCACTCTCCTTTCATCACATCTGAACCACTCACAGGTAAGGGCCCAAGGGGGTAACAAATTAAAACAGTCTTAGATGTTAAATGACAACCAATAACAACAGCTTGTTTATAGGAAAATGAAAGTTCTGGTCAAAACTAGTAACGCTCTCTTCTTCAGCAACTTCTCAAGTAGATAATATTCTGGCTTTGGGAATAATCTGTAAAGATATCTAGTAGGCCTCAAAGCATTGTTTAGCCTAAGGAAAAAGAACCCACTTTACTAACAATAAAAATAATCACTTTACTGATATGCCAAAGAAAATATATTCTTTGGGAAACTTATTTATTTTAAAAATATTTATTTAATATTTAATATTATTATTTGCAAAAAGAGTAGAAAAAAAGATTTTAAAATATAGAAATTACTAAGGATCATATTCTATACTACCATTAATGTAATTTATTTATTTATTTTAAGTTAAAAGATAAGAGAAATGATAGTATAACAAATTAAGCCTGTGGTAATGGAAACATCACAAAATTAAATTTTCAAATACTTTTCAGGTCAGCAGTAATGACTTTCTAAATAATGACTGAACAGATTAGCGTTTGCTGTTCCTCTGCTCCCAACTACACACAAATTTTTCAGGAAAATCAAACCAAAATTGGAAAGGCAGTTATCTGTATTCTTAAGAACTCTACTGCCTAATTTGCTTTAAGCCCATTTAAAAACTGTTTTCTTTTAAATTTCTAATATAAGGTTCAGTAATTATTTTTCTATGATCAGACCTAACATTCTGTCTCCTATCAGGGAGTCTGACACAGATACTTGCAATTGGGAAAGGACAGAAGGTCCAAAAACTCTTTTGGATAAAGTGCTAGGCAACCAACATTTCAAGATATTCTATTTCCATACATTAATATATGCCAAATCTTTCAAAACAAAAAATTAAAATACCTTGGAAGTCCTCAGAATTAGGCAACTTGACACTGCATACAAAGTAATCCTTATGCTCATTCTGTGAATTTAATTAAAGAATGAAATTAATAATTAAAGCGAAGAAACTCGAAGTCAAATCTCAAAGAATTCAGCAGGTTGGTGCTGACTCAAAGAAAACACTGTTCTTAACTCCAAGTATTATCATAATTGTTGAAGCTGGATGATGAGTACATGACACTTCATTCTACTCTCTCCCTATCTTTACATATATACTTGAAATGTTCTACAATAACATTTAAGACATCGTGTCCAAGGGAAAAACCATGTAAAATTATCATTATAAAAATATCCTTGGTTCATTCACATATATAAATGGTTTAATAAGATTCTATAAGCAAACTCAAATCCTATTAGCTTTCTTCTCTGAAAATTAGTGTTTTAAATCACTTTTCATTAAAAAGAAAACTACCAAATTTAGCAGATTTCGTTCTCTGAAAAATAATCCTAATCAATTTTATTAAAGTTTTCCTTTTTCCATTCATTCTAAGAAACTAAGCTCGAAAACCTAATAGCCTGACAGTTACCCCAGGAATATCTTTAACCCTAATACATGAAAATTAATTAGCAATCATATTCTTAAAGCAGTGCACATATATCTGCATGTCTGTGTCAGAAATAGTGATAGTGGATAATGCGGTTAAGTAAAAAGATCCTAAAGAAACCAAAAATAATTTGGCAGTGTTTCACACGATGAGTGCGTCCCACCACCAAACTGATATAAATAAAATTGTGGAACCTAAGGCCAAACAAGTCTAAATCTATGTTTTAAATAGACATTCACTCCTGAATGAGTCATGACAGAGCACATGATTAAGCCTAGAGCAATGAGTTTTTTCACTGAGAGGAAACTTCACACAGAAATTATCTTTTCAGAAAGAAAAATATTTTCAGAAAATTTGAAACTTACCAAATCAATAGGGTAAATGTAGGAAAGCTCAGAGAGTAATTGTCTGCAACGAATTGTCAACTGAGCATTAGTCTTCAAAAAGAGTTCTCTAATGAGGAAAGAAAAAAATATATTTATTAAAAATATATACTTGCATGCTTTGCAACATTTATTTCCATATAATTAATGCAAAGAAAGATTATACTATCTGTAACAGGCCACAGAAACTCAGAAGTAGAAGCATAAATAATAGCCACCATAAGTCTTGACCTATCTCCAAATAGTATCAATCAAGTTAACTATATATTGAATGCTACTGTGTGTGATCAGTACCATGCTAAGATATGTAAAGGGGACTAGGAGTGGTGGCTCACTCCCGTAATCCCAGCACTTTGGAAGGCCCAGGAATTCAAGACCAGCCTGGGCAACATAGGGAGACCCTGTCTCTACAAAAACAAAAAAATTAGCTAGGTTTGGTGGCATATGTATGTGGTCCCAGCTACTTGAGAGGCTGATGTAGCAGGACCGCTGGGGCCTAGGAGGTTGAAGCTGCAGCACACTCTGATCATGCCACTGCACTCCAGCCTGGGCACCAGAAAAAGACATTGTCTTTGAAAAAAAAGAAATGTAAAGGGCACAAGTAATCATTCACTTGGCATCTGCAAATGGCCTTATTTAGTTATAACAACTCTAGTAAGTTGATATTATTATACCTATTTACAAACAAGGAAACAATATTTGGAGAATCTGAATAATCTGACCAGGATTTCATAGTCAATTTAATGAGGCCAATTTGATTTCAAGAAAGATCTGGATAGTATTTCCTCAAGAAATATTCTATATTTCACTCATAATTACATATATTTACCTCAAAAACCACCATGTACTATGAGAAAAAAACGTATAAAGAACAAATAAACAAAAAGCTATAACATGAGATTACCCAGCTCTTCTCTCTCTTTTTTTTTTTTTTTTTTTTTTTT